TTCACCTTAGACTTTCAACGTCTCTGCGCAAATTCTTTGCTTGGCATGGAACGGCTCTCTTGGAAATGTTCCCTTTGAGCATCACAGCGCCTTGGCTCCCATCTGCTCATGGATGGAGCTAATTCCTCCACACAGAACGCTTACTTTCCTTTCTATCTGCATTCTACCTACTTTATCCTCCTCATATTTGAGAACATCAGGACAGAGTAATATCTCCTCATCAAAGTATAACAAAATATTTACCATCCCCACTGTGAACCCCATCTTCTCACCTACAAAATCAAGGCCATGCAACTATTTACCTTTCACAGTCACTAAAAGGAGTAACATTCTATGTGCTCAGTAAATGTTAACACTTGTATTAACTCTGGTAGTTGCTGCCACCTTGATCACTTTGCTTACATATATCAGAACATAAATACCAAACTACTTATTTCCCATGGTTTCTGTTAAAAAGAGATTCACTTCAGTCTTTTATTAGAATATGTTTTTTTCTTTTCCTAAAAATTGATACATAAATTTAGCTATACGTATCTGTATTCACCACTGAGATTCCTCATTCCTAACAAAAAGGAATTGTCATTTAAAAGATTGTGAATAGGATTAGTTGCAAATCAAGCCAGTCATTTTAGATTCCCCAGAAGAATCCTTGTCAATGCCCATTTACTACTGAAGAGAATATGTAATTTTTTAAATTTATAAAAGCTAGGATTATTTATCTGATTCAGTTTGTATTGTGTGAATATGTTGTAAATACTCCTTAGAGTACTTGCGGGCATCAAATTGGTATATTTAGGCAATTTTATTGACTTGAATGTTACACAAAGAGGGAAGAAGTACAAGAGATTGTACCTTAACAGTGTTTTTTTTCCTCTTCCCGCGCCACAAATGATTCCTGATGTATCAGGGTTTCGACGATTGTGAAATGTTCTTGCATTTTGTTGATTCTAATTATTTCAATGTTCTAAGTAAGCTACATGTTTGAAATCTTTTGTCCAATCAAAATCACTGCTAAAACAAAATGTAACATAAATTGAAATATATTTGTACCTATTTTGTTGTGGTATTGACAAATCCTGCTTTGTTTAGGCATTACTAAAGGTTTTTTTATGTTTTATATTGTTTCGCAGTTAAGCATATGTCTTGTATTCTAATTCTTACAAAAGGAAAATCAATTAGAAATAAGATCTTACCATGCCGAAAACATTCAATATACTTAATAGAGTATAGAGAGAGACATATCAACTGAAATAATACACAAAAGCAAGTTTTAATAGTATAAGACAAACACAATATGATATCTAAAGTTTAAAGCAAGGAAGTAAGAAATCTCTGAAAACTTTAATGGAATAGAATACAATTCCAATCATCTTTATATATTAACTATGAAAATGTTTTAACCTTTTTATTTAGTATACCTATTTTAAAAATTATGTTTTAGAAGTATTATACATTATCTCATGCCTATAATAAGTCACATCTGTGATCTAAGGGTTAATTTTATGATTAAATAAAATCAGACTGTAATTCAGAAATTTCATGTGCCAGAGATACGGAACGATCTTTTTTAATGTATGAGTTCTATTGGCAAATGGCATTGTCCAAGACTAAATTCACAAACCATACTTAAAACAAGAGCAGTCTAAGGATTTTTAGGATATCTAAGGCCTTCTTCTCCCCTCTAAAAAGAGAATCATATGTTAATTCTAGAGAGACCAGGAGTATTTTCCTTTTCTACTTCCTTATTTTCATGAGATTAAAATTGTGCTTTAAACCAACCACAAATTAGTACCAGGAAGGGTCAGATAAAGAGAGATTTGGAATTTGAACAGATGCAAAGGGTTGGAAGCAGGAAATAATGAAGAAGCCATCCAAATACATGCTAGAGTAGAAGTACTGAATAAAATATAACCACTATATAATTCTCCCCCCGCCCCCCGAAATAAGAGAAGTCCCATACAGTACCCCATGGAAAACAGTTGCGTTATCAGGAAAGCATCCTAAAGCTTTCCTTGTTGTATGGAAGGCCCTTCTCATCTGAATCTCTGCTGAAGACCAACCAACAAATTGACCCTAGGTAAAACTGAAGAGCTGAAGCCTTATTTATGGAGATGTGCAAGCAAAATGAAACAGAACGACACTTTGTAACTATTTCTTTAATTCAGAATAATTTTAGGATGCCGTTGGGGATAAAATCACACCTAAATAAAGCATACCATTAAACACATGGCTGGGAACAGATCTTTTCCTGTTTATAGAACGCACAAGTACCTAGAGCTTAAGAGGTAGTAGAGAAAGACTTGCACAGCGTGAGAGAAACAAGAAACAAGGAAAGAATCCAGAAACCCTGAAATAAATTACATTTTCATACAGCTTTGACACTGTTTATCTCCCACATATGCAAAAAAAAAAAGTGGAAGTCCGCATGGAGAGAGTTTGCTCATGCTCACTCATGCAGTCACGTTTTTGTTATAAACAATTGCTTGAATATCACACAATCCATACAGAGATGAACAAACTTCACTTCTTCTATTTTGAGTATGCTGTCCTGTGAGTAACTTCTTAATGAAATCCTTTTATCCCTAGAAGAGGTGTTAACGGATAGAACATTATTCGGAGAGATTTTAAGGAAACATTGGTCCGATGAAAGTCCCTATTGTTTCAAAAAGCCATTAAGACCTAAATATCTTTAAGCATCAAAAGCAGTATGTGAGCAAACAGAATACTACGAAAGGAGTAAAATCATCCAGGTTCCAAACTACTGGATAGCACAACTTCTTCTGATAGGAAAAGAGCTGCACGGCCTTTCAGATCTTGTAGGACAGATTTGCTTGAGTGCTTTCGGGCAGGCCTGGGCTTCCCTTTTGTATGTTGAATGCATGATTTAGAAGAAGCTGTGTCAGCACTGATTTATATTATACACTGACAGCTAAGGATAATAAGATATGGGCAAACCTACTGCTCACCCTTTTACAGATTAACCTGGAGACTGCATTAGGCAAATTTGATAGCATTAAGAGATTTTGCCAATTTGTCTGGAAACAATTTCTCTTTTGTAGTGTGTCAAGGGTAACACTTCATACTATTGGGCTAATTTAAATGGCTTTGATAGATTGTTCAAGGGGTTAGAGAATTCTAGTGTAGATACATATTTAGCCCTTGGAAATAAAAAGGCTATTAACTTAATTGTTAACTGAATTTAATCTATTAAAAAAAGAAAAAAAAAGAAAAGAGTGTCCAAGGATCTAAGTGTTTTCTTGGAACCACAGCAGCCATTTTATATCATGAGGCTCTAAAAGTCTTGGAAAATGAAATTGCACTTCTGCATTGCTTCTTAATAAGTTGAAATGCTTTAGGCTCTTAGAGCAGCATGAGTGGTAGCTATTATTTGGTGAAAGCCAAAATTTATAAAAGCAATAAAATGGGATCTTTTCTGAAGTGCCCTAGTTCTTATACAGCATGTCCTAGATCGTTGTATGTGCATGGCATGAATATAATCCTGTATGTGTTTGCGTGCCCTGGGGACCTTTGTAAAAACAAGATGCATTTTTCATGAGACATTCTTTACGTACATAATTTCTACAGTAAGCAATCTGAAGAGACTCTTCTAAAAATCCCCAGGTGAAATCACTGGACCTTTATTCTTTGGTTGTGTAAGGGAATCAGCAACTTAATAGTTGTTTCAACACAGACCACTGATGGGAATTAGCCCTTTGACTGAATTTCCAACTTGAAACAAGAAGATTCATTCCTATAATGACCCTAGTCTTAGCTCCTTATAACTACCTTGTATCGGCAATGCCTATAGAGCTGATAGTGGTACAGATAGACATTTCGTTACTGTCTCCAGAGAAGTAGTAACATGCTTTTTCTTTATTGGAATAATATTATCCTTAAGCACCAAGCTACTCCCTTAAACAGCAATTATTTGTTTGATCAAAGGGAGAGTGCAGATAGTCATTACTCCTTCTTCATTCTAAGAGAGTAGGTCCTTAATATAGACAGAAGTTTTTAATCCTAAAAACTAAGGAGAAAAGGTAAGGCTAACCCAGTTTAGAGGATCCATTTTATATATATAATTTCCCACCACTGGACTTTAATACAGAGAACTTAGATTACTCAGATTCATTTGTTTGAACTATATATCATTTAGAATGAACTGATGCAGAATGAGAACTATTTTTGTTACCATAGATAGGTGTAGTGTTTTAATAATGTACCTGTAGTGTGACTTTTTTTCAGCTGAAATGATCACTTCAGAGAAAATCAAAAGTTCTATTAATCTCTTACAAGTTCAAAACTTATTTTTCCCAGTAGCCAGGCAATTCTGAAAGTTTTTTGTAACCCCATATCTACATTTCAGGACATTTTCATATAATGACAATGAATTAGAGAATAATGAAACTATCTATAAAATGCCAGCCTTCTAAAGTATATTTCTGATTGGGAACAGCAGGGAGAAATCAAGAACATTATTTCTTTCTCAATTTGGAGTTCTGGAAGGAAACTGCTTTTAAAAGGCAGAAACCTAAAAGTAGTCTTAGTCGTTCTTGCCAAGGATAGTGAAATTAACATGCAGCTGGTCTTCTCTGATAAATGGATTCCGTTAGGTCACCGAGGGGGTGCCTGTGACATTAAGTGATTTACAGTCCTTTACCTTAATGAAATTGTTTCAGCAATGACGCTGAAAGCTCTTAATGGATAGCTTTTCTTGATGTAATGAAATTGCATTCCTATGGCATTTAATATAAGGCGCAGTTATTATTTACTGGAGCTTTCCAAGGGCTGCTATTTGCACAGACAGTTCAGAACAGAACAAAAAGAGATTTCAGTAGCAGCGTAGAGGGAGGCCAGAATGGCTTGTGACATTCTCAAGCAGATGAGTGTGTTTGGGAAACCAGTTACTGTGACTAGAGCCTCCTAGTCCCTTCAGGAATCTTCTTGTCACCTTCCCTACTGTGCTTTGCTTTTTACATATATTCTTTTAATCCATTTAACAGGCAACTGGATTACAACCAGATCAGCTGTATTGAAGATGGGGCTTTTCGGGCTCTCCGGGACCTGGAAGTGCTGTGAGTATGGTTCATTTCTCTTACTCTGTTCACCGGAGCTTTGTGTCTGCAGAGAAATAATGTGAAGGCTTATCTGCTCTCTTCAATCCTTCTGTCAAAATGTTTCTTAAAGAAGTACCAGAAATAACTCATGGGGAAAGACAGAGACTGACCATCAACACCATGTATGTATGCAAAATGTTGTATATTGTATCTATGGAATAGCTAAAACTGTGTATTTAAGTATTTTCCTTTTGATAAAATATTCTGATAGGATACACAGGATGTGTGAGTATTTTCTAAATTACTAAACATGTAAGCAAAAAAAAATCAATGTTGTAGAAACAATAACCCCAAAAAGTAACTCTCTTAATAGCAGGTATCTTGGTCTATTTTGTGGTTATTATATAATGAAAAGATGCTTTGTTTTTAAGCCAGGCAACTGAACTTTAACTTTGGTGGTGTGGCTTTAAAGTCTATATTTTAATTTTAATAAGCCGCTCAATGGTCCATTTCAACGTCTTCACTACTGATTCTGTTATGCTATGCACAATTTAGACCCTTGGCTTGTAACTGGAGTTCTCTCTTTGATATTCATACATGCCTGAGAAAATTAGTTAGAGGCAACTAAGTAAAATATGTTGAGTTTGATATATGAAAATAATTTTGATGAAGGACTTTTAATACATTTCATTTTAGTAAAACCTCTAGTTACTGGAGAAATTTATGTCGCTGAAAGTTTCTAGAATTCTTTTTCATCAACCAGTCACATTTCCAAATTTTAAAAGATGCTTACCCATTTATCTCCGTAAAGACAAATTATTCTTCACCAGGCTTATGTCATCCTCCACGTAAGTTAATTAGAAATACAAAATTAAACTTCAAAGAGTTTTGAATTTTTAGTCCAGGTGTTAAAAGTTACTCGAAACGATCAAATTTGACACTCTAAAAAGATTTATTATTGATTGAGTTTAAGGAACAAAATATAATTCTAACAAAAAAATAAAAATAATCTTTCCACTAGCAGGATTTTCTGAATGATCTTTAATTTTATTGCATAGAAGTGAATAGAATTTCTAGCTATGCTATGTATTCAGTAACCAATTGCTTTTAGAGATTATATATGAATGTTTTCACATGTAAAATTTGTCACATAAATTTTTTATGTGTAAGATTTTGTCACTCTTTACAATTGATTATTGTATAAATATGTATGTTTTCTGTGTACAAGGTTACCTTTACTTCTTTTGAAAAGTCTTTATTTTTTCTAGAACAAAAAATGTTTAAAGTGTTAATTATAGTAATTTTAGTGATAAGACCATGTATACTAGACCTATATTTTTTTTAACATACAGAAATCAGGAATGCTATTTCAGTAAGAATTAGGTCACAAGGATGGTTTTATGAGAACACTTTGATGCTAAAACCCTTGTCAGTGTCATTGAACTTCCAAGGTGAAGGATCTATCATGAAGGGCACTGAGCTGCACAGAGCCAATCAAGCCCCAGAATCTGATAGTAAGCTAATGTTCCTAATGGAAAATGGAATTACAGGCATTTTTAAAACCTTTACTGAAGGTTTGGATGAACTTAACACCACAAAGTACTTTATTTTTATTATTAAGTGAGAAAACCTAAATTTTTTAGGTAGGCAACTCTCCAGCTTGTTATTTATATTTCATCATTGTATAATGTACATATATTTGATCCTGTAATACATATCTTATCATATATGTGCATATGTGTGTATGAAATAACTGCTTAGTATATGTTAGAAAAAGAGAGAATGAATAGGAGAGAGAGACACCAACCATTCTGCTAGGCACAGAAACCAACTTTCATCCACAAATACAATAACCATGTATATATTTATTTGTTGTACACTGAAGGGATTATTTTAGAAGCCTTAAGTTTGGAAATGTAATCGATCATTTTGTTTGTCATCGTAATAAAGTATATCTAAAAGATTATTTTAACAGGAGGAAACTTAGCAGAGTGAGAGTTCATGAAATTAGAACAGAAATGACAATCCTGGGAACTCTTTTGAGTCCTTAATACATTTCAAAGAGATAAATGATGACAAGAACCTGTTCACAGAGAAAGTAATTAAAATTATCATATGATAAGAAAATGTGAATGCCATTTAAATATTTAAATCTTTTATAGTAAAACTTCCTAAAGTCAAGCAGATATCATTTTTATTTTTTACAATCTTCATACTTCAGTAACCTTTAGAAAACTTGTTTGATGAAGAATTTAAGGCCAAATTAGATAAATCACCCAAAAGAGTAAGATTAATTAAACTCAGATCTTTTTTCAGGCATAGAAAATGTTTGCCTATTATAACCATTCAGGCAAGGGCTTTTAAAAAATATACTTACATGCAAAAGAGTTCCACAGTGGAGACTATGCATTAAGGATGTATCTTTCTATTTTTTGGAGAAATATGAAGGGACAATAACTGGTATATCAAAATAATTTTATATTCTCACCTTTTACGTGTTACTTTTAATTTCATATTCAAATGTCATGCTATAATGAAGTCAATCTAGAAAAGACAGAGTAGTTATTGTGGGTGATGATGAAAAATTTTAGGTTAGGGCATGTGTTTGGTAGAAGGAGCAAAGAAAGTACAAGCATTCAAATGAAAAGTCAAGAAACATAAAAGTCTTGTGGTATAGTTCACTGCTTATTGCTTGTGGCAAACGGATTTCGTTTGGAATTCTGGTTGGCAGAATTAACTATTTTCTTAATATGAATATACTATTGCAAAAAGTAACATTCGAAACGAGATCTAGATCGATATTTTCTTTTCCTTTAGACACTGAACTCAGAAAATGAAATGGATCCCAAACAGCTAGTTATACTTTTTCTTTTTTTTCTTGTTCACACAATGGACATGATTTAATTTAATTGAGACATATCCATCAAATATAAGATTTCTGCCAAGTCCTGTTCTTGCTTGTCTCTTAGGGAATAAGAAAGGTTAACTCAGAATCTAAGTGTGAGAAGTCCTTCCTGATTATAAAGGCTTATATTTCACACACACACACACACACACACACACACACACACACAATGTCTTTTGTTCTAGAACTATTCACATGGTAAAGAGGAAATGTAGATCACATGATTCAAGATGCATTGTACATATCATTTGTTGAATGGTAACTCCTTTGTATAACTACTTAAAAATAATAAAAATGTAATTTATATTTTACACAAAGGAGAAAGTGTTCCAAACTAGATATGATATATAAATTTATCCTGTTTTACAATAGGAATTGGTCACAACAACAATATATACCGGTCATCATGCCACTTCTACTTACTTTCAGAATAACTTTGTTGGTTTCACTTATTTTTCACTCCAAAAATACTCAAATTAAACATATGCTGAATAAAACATTAGGAAGATTTGTTTAGTTTTCCTGTTGTCTTATATAAACTAACATCTTAGGAAAAGACTTTAAAAATGGTAAGTACAGGGCTTTGACGTGCAATAAGAACTCTCTTTGCATGGAGATGTGATAAATTGCATTTCAAAACTAATCCAGGTCTACTCTCTATGAACTACTTAAACAAACATATTCCCAAGGCCACAATGCAGAATGTCATATACTCCGATGATTTTAGCCATTTTGTGTCGGATTAAATGTTGAGTGTTGGAAAAGAGAGCATTGGAAAGTTAAAAATCTTTCTGAAGGATAAAACCAGTGGGGGATGAATTAGACAAATGACAGTTAATAAGAAAGAGTAAGAAGAGAGATTTTGATTCCCTGAGGAAGAGTCTGGCTGTGACAGGCAAGTGATGGCATAGTCATCTTAAAGTATATGAGTGGAGTGTGTAAATGGAAATGTTTGTAGGCTGGGACTAGATGGGCAATGCACTGATACAGGGAGTAAAGAGAGCAGATGTCTGAAGAAGGCCACAGAGCTGTGAACAGTGATCCAGAAGGACAGTAGTTGATTCTAGAGTGCGTTTGCATTGCATTTATCAATGTAGTTGCCTCTGCAAATGAGGCAAGGAGCACAAATGAGAGAAGCTGGCTATGGACAAAAAAAATTCATTGGGAAAAGCAATACAGAAGCCGGGGACACTGAGGCCTCTGGTAGACAGCTCAATCCAGGTGTGTATTGTCCTACTGTAAATGGAAGACTGCCAAGTGAATTGACTTTTCCCCTGGAAGCTAAATATGGATCTGTCGTCCTGTTCAGTTTGTTTGGTTTTTAAGATCTTGTGTTTTCTAAGCAAGCATTCCCCTTTAGCCATGATCCCACTCTTTTTTTCTTGTTCATTTTTTCTTTCTTGTTTTTGGTCAAGTTAATTTTGGATGGGGACTTAGTGTTCAACTGTGAGATGACTACCTACTACCCAGGACCTCTCAGATAACTGGGATGACAAGTCTATATTACCACACTGGCTTTTAGATTGAGATGTAATCTCACTAACTTTTTGCCCCACCAGGCTTGAAATTTGAGCAGTTTGATTTATAGGTGTGAGCCACTACACTGAGATGTCTTGTTTTAAAAAATATATATATATATATATATATGTGTGTGTGTGTGTGTGTGTGTGTATAGAGATAGAGATAGATAGATGGATAGATAGATAGTAGATAGATAGATAGATAGCAACTAATTCAGATATTTCTCAGTCTATGAAGTAAAGGTATTTGGGCTAAATAAAATACCTATGTGATGCTGGAAGTCGCAATTGTTAGTAGTGTATTTTACATGAAAATTTGTGTTCTGAGACTGAAGAATTGGATTGATTTCTTTGTAAAGCGATTTGGCTACAGACCTACATTGCTCAGGTCACGCACTGAATTTACAGTAAATGCAGCAGTTTTGCTTTGTATTCAAAGACATAGGAACTAACTAGTCAATGGAATTAAGTCACAAAAGAACCTGTAAAACATTGGGTTAGTTGACTCCTGTTATCCAAAAGCTCATATATTTGTGTCCTGAAAAATAAGGGCATTTTTTTTCAGACACCATTAAAATTTATCCTTCAGTATGATCTAGAAGTCTTACTTTCAACTGATCCTTTTGACCATCCTCAAAGTAGGAATAATTACTAAATTATGTATGTGTGTGGTGGAGAATAGTAAGAAAAATAGGAAGCAAGTATGACTGTACTTATTTCTACTGTAACTCCGTGGACCACACATCTTTCTCACTCTTCCTCGAGAAACTATGATTGTAACCACACTAAACAAAAGACCAATGCATCTTGCTATAATAGATCTGTTAGAATACATTAATTTTTCAAGACAGTGCCAGAACATCCTAACTCTTTCTCACCTGATTCAAATACCAAATACAGAGGTATGTCTTTTACCAAAATTGCAACTTCAGTGGATGTCTGTCTTAAAGACTAATAAGCAGCTCTCTGTTCTTAAGACCTGGCAGTAATGATTATATGTTGTTATTCTGAGTTCACTTGGAGAATTCATAGATGTTGAACTACATGTGAAACCACTCTAAAGAAATATGTTTGTGAAAAATTTCCAACTGTGGTTGCCTCGCATTCATTGTGTGACCAATATTTTACAAACAGAAAATTTATGAATAGATGCAGAAAATACCATGTAAGTCTGAATGTTCTTGATGAAGTCATACTTTTCTTATAGTCAACATTGAATAAAATGGAATGTATGTGAAAACATGAAGAGCGTTTATCACCGGTCTTATTAAATCGTGTATTATCTGTGTTATCGCAAGCAGCTAGTTGCTCTGCTTATAAATAAATTAATGAATGTTGCCATCAGATGCTGTCTATATACTTTTATATAAATGGTCACGTTTTCCTATTTAAAATATCTTAATTTTTTTATTCCACAGCACTCTCAACAATAACAATATTACAAGGCTTTCTGTGGCAAGTTTCAACCATATGCCAAAACTTCGAACTTTGTAAGTATTTGTAATATCTATCATCTATCATATATGTATATGAATTTAATTATTTAACCATGTCTCTCACACATCATGTTTAGTTAAGGAACATGACCACTAGCTTCTTTTGGAATAAGCAATGGAAAACACACTAAAGAAAAATCTAGAAATGATTGTTTAGTATATATACAATTATATTGAAATCTTGAAGACTTTCTTGTGTGTTGTTTTAAATGTATGCATTATGGAAGTTTGGAGAAAAAATTACTTTGAAATATTGTAGAGGTCACATTTCATTAAGAAATAGGAGACTCCTTGATTGGCTGTCAGAAATGATAAATGGGAAATCTTTATGATTTTATTACTGTACTGCAAGCAGACTTAATAAAGCTAAACTGGTTTTCCTACATTCTTTGTAATGTAAAGTTATAGCATCACCATGTAGTGCTTTTATAATTAAGGTTGTGTTAATGTTTAGATTTTAAAATACTCTTTCAGGGCTTAAAGATAGATCTCAATATATATGGAGAAATAAAAATGCTTTTCTAACAAAGTATCAGCTACAACATTTTTGTTTTCTCTTTAAAAAGAAGAAATCCTTATACTCCAGTTTGGGAGTATATACAGTTATAGAATTTTCACAGGTAAAACTCACTTGAACTGACCTAAAAAATGTATTATACATAGCATGTGAGAAATGATTGGAAACAAAACCAGAACAGTGTATTTCTTGGGGAAAATTATGTTTAAGTAGGGCAAATATATTTTGATTCAATTTTCAAAATTGTTCGCACTTTATAACAGTTTAGAATTTGGAACATATTACATTTATTTTCTCTCTTTAGTAAAAAAAATGGAATTGCCTGCTTTTCCATGAATCACACAATACCAATTTAATATCATTTTTCTTACTAAAATTTGACTCTGTATATGAAATCTCAACATTATAATTCCCATGGAATTTGATTTAGCAAAAGAAAAGAACTCTAAAAGTTAATTAACATAACTCTTGGGTTATCAAATTAAATGAATAGCCCATTTCACTCAAAGTATAATTGACAAAATTTCTCTACCATTAACTTTATCTAATTATTTTTTTAAGTGGTCATGATTCCTAATCCTTTCAGTAGAACAACCTCTAAAATACAAACCAATCTGTAGTTTTTAGAACATGTCTTATTTTCTAATAGAGGTACCCTTGTTTGTCTGCCCAATATGTTTAAAAACCTTTTTATATCTTTGCTTTCATTTCAAGTTTTCATAAACCTAATTTATGTCCTTGTAGCAATGCTACATTTAGATGGGAATATTTAGTGGACAATGATGTGAAATGTGGTCTCTTTGCTTTCAAATGATGGCATTTTGACAATTAAGCCACCTGTGAGGGGATTACCCAAAAAACTTTGCCAAAATACTGGTTTGGGTTTAGTAAGTGACTTCTAGATTTAGGGTTTCTGTTTGATTTGGGTTTTTTTGTACTGGGATTTGGACTAAAGGCCTCACCCTTGAAAGGCAGGTGCTTTATTGCTTGAACCATGGCTCTAGCCACATTCCATCTAGTATTGGTGTAGAAAATCCTGGTTCTTCTCCACAAGCTCTAGCAGAATGCAAAAAGCGTTCATCTAACTTTTTTATTCTCTTGGCTTTGGTTGGTTCATTATTCTCTACTATCATTGCTACTTAGAAACTCCATTTTTATAGTGCAATTATCTTTCTGGACCGAGTTCCATGTTTTACTATCCATTAGCATTATTGGGTTAGAATTGAATACATCAGCAAAAAGGACTAAAATGGTATTACTGTGTCATAGACTATTCTGCGAAGGATGCTTTGATTTATAGCATTAGATGGCCCTGTCCTTTAGTTTGAAAAAAAAAACCATAAAAGCCAGTTTGAAGTCATTTACTTAATTTAGTGGATACATTTGTCTGATATTTTATTAATGGAGAAATGCCATTTGCCACTTGGAAGCCATCCATGCTCTGGGGTGGACCCCGCCGATAGAGAGGGGACACACTTAATTCCTTCACTCCCAGCCACTTAGGCCTTTTAATTTCAGTCTCTGCTCTTTGGAGATAGGTCCCCAAGAGCCAGAAGCCGTTAATCCTTTCTTTGATTAAAAAAAAAAAAAGAAGAAGAAGAAAGAAGGAAATTAGGATCCCGATGTGAACAAGTTATTTTTTTTCTAATGAATTATTCTGTCTTCTTTAGCAAAAATGTAACCTGCTAAAAAGATTTTGCAACCGCTTGCTATAGAGATCACTTGTAGGGGGGTGGTTCCTGATATTTCCAGCTGAGATCCACAGCTCTTTGTTTATTTCCACTTTCTCCCTGCCACCCCTGGTTACTCTCAGGATACTAGGACTGCCGTGAACCTGCCTTGTTTTCTCTCTACTCTTTTCGGGTAAACATAGAGGAAATAAGGCTACCATCCCACTCTAGCCTCTGGATATTTGCTTAACTCTGTGTAAAAGAAAAGACTTGATTCTGTGCTTGTGAACCAGTTTCATACTTTTGAACAATGCTTAGCTTGGAGTGTGCTACTTTATTTTCCCATATCTATTAGTGAGAAGTAATAGCTATTTATTGTTCTGTATGAATTTGTCAAGTTCTCGCATAACTGTTTTGTTCTCCCCTCCTAAATCTCCTTTTTCTCATTTAGTCGACTCCATTCCAACAACCTGTATTGTGACTGCCACCTGGCCTGGCTCTCCGACTGGCTTCGCCAAAGGCCTCGAGTAGGCCTGTACACGCAGTGTATGGGCCCTTCCCACCTGAGGGGTCATAATGTCGCCGAGGTTCAAAAACGAGAATTTGTCTGCAGTGGTAAGGGCCAAAGAACAGTTCTCTTATAGCATTGTGCTCTATTAAGTGGCAGAAAGTGAGGTATGCGTTCCAGGCATCTAGCGTTTCTTACTGACACGAAATGATGCACTTCCGACAGTGAAAAGATATTCTAGGATATTTGTACCTCATTGGCAGTGACCCATGACTTACATAGAAGATTTTTTTTCAGTTTGCATTCCAGGGGAAATGTAGGAAATTCTGAGATTATAGTTCAGACTTGAAACTCCTTGTCTTTTCTTTACTTAGTCAGATTAACAACTACTGGGGCTCTCACTGGAGCCCTGCTATGGGAAAGCCATGACACATTTTTCATGTATGCACAGGTACTATCATGATTCAATTGTAGGTAAATGACAGGCTTGAGCAATGGAAGTCTGAGGACAAAAACAAGAGCATGGCCATATAAAATATTGGTAGCTAATATGGACTGAGTTCCCTATGCTTAAAGCATCTCAAGTATTCCATAGTCTACTTCATTTTACTTCCCTCTTAATTCATGTTCAATATATAACCTTTACATTAGAGACTGAAATATTTTTAAAATAATAATCTTGCCTTGGTTTATATGGTCAAGTCCAAGGATCCCGACAGAGACTATTTGGATATGTGTGTGTGTGTGTGTGTGTGTGTGTGTGTGTGTGTGTGTGTGTGTGTGTATGTGTGTGTGTATTTATTTATAAAGTACTTTGATGAATACATATATATACACAGACATATACATATATATGTAAAAATATTTTATAAAATGTAGGGGTAAGTCTACTTCAGAAGTATCTGTTTAGGATGTATAATAAAACATACTTTGGAATTTATTTTTGGTTTTGTTTTGCATTGTTAGACATTATACTGAAGACCTCATGCATACTGAGCAAGTCCTGCCACATACCCAGCCTTAAAGAAAAAACAAAAAATATTTGGGGGGTGAATATTGAGGTTGAAACCCAAGGCATGTGTTTGCTAGCCACATGTTCAACACTTGAGTCATATACCTCTTCTTTTTGCTGGAGTTATTTTTCAAATAGGCTCTGGCCTCCAGGTGGGCCTGAACCAAGGGGTGCTTTGTTTTCATCCCATGTAGTTGGTATACAGGTGTGGCCCACTACACTCCAATCTTAACTGGTTTTGATGGGGTCTTCCTGACTAATTACAGGTATTGACCTTAAATTGTGATCTTTATTATCTCTACATTCACAAGTAATTGAGATTATGAGCCTTAACCACTATGCCTGTCAAACAGTTTGAATGCCTTTGTAACTGCTCTTCATTTTCATTGGTTCTACTTGTGGTTCAACCAACCACAAGTAAAAGAAATCTGAAAAACAATTGGATCTACACTGAATATATATATATATAAATATATATGAATATATATTTATATAATATATAAGTATATATTACATATATAACACATATTACATATACATATATAAGTATATATTAGTATATAGCATATAAGTAGACATATATGTAATATATATAATTACACATAATATTGATATTTGTATATGTAACATATACTTATACCTATATAAGTTTATAGAAGAACATATTATGTATATATCTACATATATCATATATACATATATTCATAAGTATATATTATTGTGTATATAAGTACATATAATATATATATATATACTTTTTCTTGTCATTATCCCCTAAAGTAATATGGCATAAAAAAATTTGCTTTAGATATTGTAAGTAACTTTATTCTAGGTATTAGGTATATAATTTAGGTAACAGTATTCTATGATGACTTTAAGTCTATGGATGGATGTACATGTGTTATCTATAATTTTTATGCCATTTATAAAGGACTTGAGCTCTGTAGACTTCGTTAGCTATAGAGGTCCTAGATCCTATCCCTCATGCATACTCTGGAATGAAAATGTAATATAAGAAATTAACAGGTTTTGAAAAGAGTGAGGGGACATTGCTAGTACTGAATGTGATTTTAACAATATCTTTCAGACCATTTTGTACAGTTTTTCGATCTTTATAATCTTACCAAAATTCTTTTTACAATGCCATGGGATATTCTTGCTAGTTCTGATTGCTATTGAAAATAAATAAGGAAATGACTAACAGTTCACTTTTTTTCTCTCTTTACTTTTTCCTTCCTGCTTTCTAGATGAGGAAGAAGGCAAGTTCACATACTTGTTTTGTTTTTAGGCTTAGAATATTGCTGTAGTCTGGGAATGTGTCTGAAGGGGTGGGGTCAGCGGCAGACTTGCCACTTTCTTGGTACACCAACCTCTGCTAGCATACTTCCCCCACAGGCCAGAGAGAGGCCACCTGACCCTCAGAAGCCAGACTTTTACAGGGGCTTGTACTGTATGGCTCTGCTGATACTGTGTTATCTATCATCCAAACATAAAATCCCATTTCAAAATGGTTTTATTTCTAAATACTGAGCACTGTTACACATATGAAGATAACTACATATCTTAACATTTTATAGTATATGAAGCCCTGAAAAGAGCCAGAGAGATGAACAAAACTGAGTATCATAGAAATTATTATAATAGCTACAAAGAAAACAGCAATTTTCAACCTACATAGACATCAAACTTAGCATTATCCAATTTTTCTCCTGTATTTACTGAACACAAAAAGTTAATTGGAACAACAGCCATATCTACCCAGATGGAAACCTTTCGATTCTTTTTTTGTAAAACAAAGTAAATTAAGCCAGATTAATTGTATTAAAGCCAAGCTCTAGTTAAGTTTATTAGAAATGATGCTTCATTAGTCTGAAATTGCTGCTTTTCTTGGAACTTAGAATAGTTTTAAATAGAATTCTAACTCTGAATCTGAATTTAGCTTTCCTCATGATTTTTCAAGTTTTGTATGACCAGTTTTGAAAATCTCTTTCTTCATCTGAATATTTAACCCAAAGTACAAATTGCATGCTTCCTAAAATAACAATTTGGAAATAATAGAACCATGGATCAGTTATTTAGAGAAATTTCTATCTTCTGCTTTGTGAACTGTGCTAAATCAATGTTTTACAACTGTGAGACTTAAAGAAAGAATCTAATGGATGCTTTTACGATCCCTTCTTCCAGGTCACCAGTCATTCATGGCTCCTTCTTGTAGTGTTTTGCACTGCCCTGCTGCTTGTACCTGCAGCAATAATATTGTGGACTGCCGTGGGAAGGGTCTTACTGAGATCCCCACGAATCTGCCGGAGACCATCACAGAAATGTATGTGCTCTAAAATTCCTTATCACTGCACCTCCTGGGTTTATCATATCTGATTAATTTAATTTAATGTATGCATCTCTATTCTGTTTGATTAGGGACCTAGAATACTTTTTCTTACATGTAGAATTAAAAGAAATACAATGCACGAAAAGAATATTATTTTTTTTCTTCTCTTGAGAGGGTTATCTTTAGACTATTTAGAAAAAAAAATCCAAATGTGTGTAACCAGTCTTAAGCTTTGTGTTTGTAGAATTCCTGTTGTCCTTTAGCAACTCAGTACAGTCCGGGGGAAAATAGGGACCCAGATGCACTGAATAAAGCATAGACACAACATCACTAGGTAACACATTGTCTGGTCAAGAACTTGAGTCCTAAAATAAATCCACTATTTCACAGGGATGGCAACAAATCAAAAGGAAAATCACCCTGCATTGTAATGTCAAATACAAAGATCCTCTTTAATTAAAATATATTTTATCCTAAGTGATTACCTCTGTTAAAAAGCTAAACTCCCGCTGGGAAGGTGGCTCAGTGGTAGAGCGCTTGCCTTGCATGCCAGAGGCCCTGGGTTCTGCACCACATAAGCAAAAAGACAAAAGCCGGAAGTGGTGCTGTGGCTCAAGTGGTAGAGCACTAGCCTTGAGCTGAAGAGCTGAGGGACAGCGCCCAGGCCCAGAGTTCAGGCCCCATGACCAGAACCAAAAAAAAAAAAAAAAGCTAAACTCCCATGAGGAAGTATTTCAAACATACTGAGTGTACAAGTGCTGAATGCATTCCTGTATCCTTGCTAAAGCTAAGTCATGTAAATAAAACATGATCACATAACATGTAAATCTAAATGCATTTACCATCTTGGGAAGTTGGTACTAGCGAAAAATCTTTATCTCCAAACACATTATTAATGAAAGTACCTCCAGGCACTTATCCTATTGCATTACAGCTTTATAGGTCAATTCTAAAATATAACTGAATAATTAAGTGTTTTGACTTTTTGATTGAAATATTCAGGGACCTCTACTTCTTGCAATAGAGGAAAACAAGTACATTGTTTTAAAAATTGCTCTCTCTTCTACGCATTTATTTCATTGCTACATTAGTATTATTGTTTATATGAAAATATCAATAGCTATACTACGATTATTTATAGTTTCTGACATGTGCTGAATACCAAACATCAGACATGGTCCTCTGCAGAGATGGACAATCCGAGATTTGACACAAACACCAAATAATATGTGTACATGGTAGTAGTATTCTCATCTATGTGATAGCTTGATCCACACAGATGTCATTTGTAAATATGTCCTTAACTGAGTTCTGGAAGAAGAATTATGTAATGTTTGGAAGTGACAAATGGTATCTTATGCAAGAGAAGTAAGGGCAGGACAGAGGGGGGGGCGGTGAATATCTTCAACAGGGATCGTATTGAACCTAATTGCGTAATAAACTCAACTCATGGTGAGACTTCAAGAAAATAATGTCCAATCAAATAATCCCCATCTAACTTTCAACCACCCTGAAGATTCATGAGAAGCCAATAGATAGCATGTAGTCAGTGGTAAAAAGGCACAATATGTTTGTGAACTGTCAAAGTGTATATTTGTATATCCAGGCACAAGTATTCATTCAGTAAGTTAAACCACCACAAATTATCTAGGGGGTGTCTCATCAAATGAAAACGAATTGGTATCCAATTTAGTAATTACGAAATGATGTACAAAGTAAGTAAAACGTTATGTGATAGACACATAGAGTTGTGATAGAAAGCATTAAATTGACGAGGATTTCTAGTGGTTAAAGAAAGTTTTAGTTGAATTTCCAGGGTTACTTTGTGACATCGTGATGCTATGTTTTCAGTTTACTTATCTTCAATGATCTTGTCTCTTTGCATGCAACTAAGCATTGTCATCAGTTTGCAGTAACATGTGTAGCTATTTGTATTTAACATACAGAGAACATTCCACAAATGATAAAGCAGTCAAGGGATTGCTGCACAGGAAAAACACTTGACTGAGGCCTGGAGAACGATAGGTGTGAAGGGAATTAGAGATGAAAGATGGGATTTCTCCATCAATAACATATCGCAAGCATTTTTTGGTAAGGGACAAAATGTAAGATGCAATAAAAGAGAAACTCTCTTTGCTTGGTATTTCATAGGTAACAATGTAGAAGTCAATAAAATTTGACCCATAACTTGGAGCTAATTCAAAGTGTCTTGATAATATATTACATTTTAATTTTTAATGTGTTTGGACAAGAATTCTTAGATGAATTCTAAATAATTAGTCTGACAGTTTTATTTCACTGATTTGTCAAGCCAGGAAGCCTAGTAAGAGTCTAATACATTGGTTGAAGGGAGCAATCCGAAGTGAAGAAACTACTGGGTACCCGTGGGAATGGTGAGGCAGAAGCAGATATGATAGCTAGTGCAGAAACAGAATTAGTGGGATTTGGAAGATAATCAGATGCAGGATGGTGAACAATGGCCCAAGCTTCATGCCAGAGTGTCAAGGACGAGGAACTGGGTTGGTTGTGCCGATGAGAATCAATGGATCTGGGAGAAATCTGGGAAGAAAGTGAGTTTTCAGTTTGTAAAGCACTGAACTAGGAATGGCATGTATACAGATAGTAAAATGATGCTGGCTTTAATAATTGTGGGACAAGACAAAGGCTTGAGATGACAGTTTGGGGATAACTGAAATAACAGTGTATAAGTGGATAGAGTTTATCAAATGGGAAATTTGAAGGAGAGAAATAGAAGAGAAGCCCAAGGACCTAAATAGCGACAGCAAAAAGCCTCACTAGGGAAGGTAGCAAGGAACCAGTAGGGGCGAAAAAAAACAAATGCAGAGGCAGGTACAGTACCACATTGTTAATGCACCAACTCAGGTGAAGGTGGTTTTGGAGTTTGACCAGTGTTTAGTACTGAAGAGTTCCATCTTGACCAAGAGATAGTAAGTCAGACACTTCTTCATGGAAATAAAAAAGAAGGTTGGGAAGCGATGGTATGGAGCCAATGGAAGACTAGGGCTGAGTGAAAATTCTTTTTAAGAAGTTGGTTGTTACTCTAGAGAACAAACAGATTGTAAAGGACCACAACCTGCAAATATTTTTTTAAGTAGAGCATAAAAATAAACAATAGAAAGGCTTTGTGAAGAAATGAGAGCCTGAGAGTTTGCAAAGACACATGGGGATAAAATCAGTATAGTTACAGAAAGCAAGGGATCAGATGTGATCATGAGAAAGTAGAAAGCTCTTGTGGCATGTCAATGGAAGAGGTATTTGTAGACAGTACATTGGAGGTCATATGAACCATTTGAAATGGCTAATCCTATGTAGTCTATTTTCATCGCAGCACTTTTCTTTTACTTTGTATGTTTTATGAATTTTGTATATGAGTAGCATGAAAGGTATACAAATCATCTATCCCAGTGGGTTTGCCTGTATCGAGGAGTTGGCATGTCAGGTAAACCAAAAATAAATCTGTAAGTAGAGACAAAGGCATATGTGAAGCTCTAGGTGAATTTTACTTCTCTGATTATTACATTATCAGCTTTATCAGTAGAGCATCTGGTAATATATCATATTGATCTTCAATGCCAACAAAATGCCTTCATTATCATTTGTTAGTGGCATAACTTGCTAGCTTTGTAACTCCTTTCTCTTAATTAATCTTATTTCTTATAAGAAAAAAGAGCACCGGTAAGATTAATTAAATGTGGAACTCATTTTTAATCTTTGAAGATTTCAGATTCTTAACACATGGACTGAAACTTAGAGACATGCCTCACATTTTTATTCAAATATTTTAATTAGCATTTTATCAGACGTTATCTGTAGAATTTCTTCGTTTCACACCATCAGATATTTCAGTAATGTTGATTTCTTGCTGTATGAAATTTTTGCAACTGCTTATAATGTATTCCTAATAAGAAAGAAAATACATTTTTACTATTTAGGAGTGATCTTACTGTAAGTATGATTAGAAAAACCTAGATTTTCTTGTAAGTATAAATTCATACATTGATATATGCCCAAACTTTTATTAGTTAAGCTGTAGATTAGAAATTGATGGTGTAAGACTCAAGTTGTTTGAAGGCAGAAAAATAGAAAAAAAGCTAACATTTATCCAATATCTGCAAAGTTGGGTACTGTGCACAGATCATATCATTTAATTTTCTCATGGACTTGTGATGAGAGTGCTCATAAGATAAAATGAAATAGGCCCTGGGGTATCAGTGCCTCTCACCTATAATCTTAGCTACTCAGAAGATTGAGATATAAGGGTGGCAGTTCAGAGCCAGCCCCGGCAGGAAAGCCTGTGAGACTCTTATCTCTAGTTAACCACCAGAAAACCAGAAGTGGTGCTGTGGCTCAAGAGGTAGAACACTTGAGCTGAAAAGCTGAGGGACAGTGCCCAGGCCCAGCATTCAAGCCCCACAACTGACAAAAAGAAAAAGAAATAGGAAAAGTAGAATGTGCAAGATAAATACTGTGTGGTTGTGCATATTCTGATTAATTAACTGACTGCCCATCTGGGATTTGAATTCAGATCTTTGTATCTGTTAGACGGATACATTACCACTTGAGTCATATCCCTATCCCCAGATTTTTCATGTCTTCCCTACTAAAACATGAATTTTTCAAAGACAGAAATTTGCTCTTTCTGATCACCACAGTGTTGTAAATGGCAAATGTACTACCTTGGCACATGGTATGATGTCAACACATATTTGGTAAATACCCGCTGTTTAAATGCACTATCAAGAAATTTATCTAAAGCAGACTTGTCTCTGAGAGGAGAGATGTATTAACCAGTATTAGTTACTAAAAGTATCCCTTTCTTGTTGAGAAAATAATACTGTATAAGCCTATACTCAGAAAAAAAAGCTGAATAGAATGTTTAATAAAATGAGCTACAATAGGCCTAGAACATTAACAATTCATTAATTTTCCTCATTGCCCACACTAGTTTATATCCTGCTCTCTATATGTTTTCA